TCATCACTTCCTAGCCAGGTGTGGGATCATGACCAGTTACAGCCTCTCTGAACCCTGGTTTCTGCATCTGTAAAATGGAGACAGGAAGATTACCCACCTCACAGGGCAGCCACGAAGGTAAATGAGATTATGAGTAGAAAGCACTTAGCACTCCTAGAAATAAGGAGAAATGACAGAGAGGGGAGAGGGGGAGAGGAGGAGAAGACACCAACAGGCGAAATGACAAGTATCCTGGGTAAATAATGAACAAGAAAAATGAAGAATATACCAAGGTTAGGAGGCAGGAATTTGTCAGAATTTCCTCTTCTCAGCAACCAACAGTGCTTCCCTCAGAGCTGTATTTTACCACTCCTCTTTCCTCGTGCTCCCCGAGCAGGCAGGTTGCAGGACCTCCGCACACTAACATCACAGGGAAGCATGAGAAGGAACAAGGAAACAAGGAAAATGCAATTTTTAAAATCTATCACGCTCTCAAGACCCAAAATTTAGACTATATCCTTTTCAGGCAATGGCCAAACACTTGTTTTTTGGGTCCTTGCTATTTGTTAACACTCCTTGTCCTCTGGGGGACACTTGCCATTTACTGAGCACTCACCATGTGCCAGGTACTGTGCTAGTGGCACTTTATATTCATCACTCAGATTAATTCGCCACCCTCTGAAGTAGGGCCTTTGACTGGCCCATTCTATGGATGAGAAAGTAAGAACCAGAGTCTTACAGTTGCAGGGTCACAACGACAGTAGCAGAGCTGGGAACTGACCCTGAAGTTGATGGGCACCAAGAAATGAACTCACAGAGCACAGGGCACACAGGTGGGAGGGAATGTCTGCTGTGAGAGTGAGCAGGCATCTTTTTCTGTTTCAATGACAAGAAATCTGTGTGTGGCTCCCAAGTTTCAGTGGCTTTTTTCAAACTTCTCAAAAGAAAGTTGATTTGTTCTGAGAGTCAAATTTCTTCTTTACGTAAGTAACGCTGTGGCAGCAGGGAGGCCTCCTGACACCACACAGGTAACAGACCGCTGCCCGTGGAGGCCGCCGTGAGCAGTCAAGGGCAGCAGGGTCCCGGTCTCTAACAGGCAGAAAACACCGGCCACCCTGGCCGCCTCATCCTGAGGCAGAACCCTCCAAAAACTGTGGTAAGAATTCCAGCTAGTCAGGAAACAGCAAAGATGTTCTAAAATAATAAACCACTGCAATCTTAAAACATTTTATTTGATGCAGAAACTCTAAGGTACAAAAACATTTTGCAAATGTCAGCTGTGATCTACTGTCACCTATTTACAGGTATGTACAAACCAAAGAAGTCATTAATATTTTCAATGTAAAAATACAGCACACTGCTACAGTCTGTCAGTGCTCAGCATTCTACCAAATCCCAAAAAGGAAACATTTAAAGATGAAATAAAGACAATGACATCAATATCCACCATATTCCACAGGCTTTTCCCCCCAGGACATAATAACAGGGAGCTTCTGCAGTGGAAAAAAAAAAATTTTTTTTTTTTAACTAACAGTGAAAATAAAAGTTACTTACTCTATAAATGAACACATTTGGTTTTTACAAAAGCTTTTGCTGCTGTCCAGATTCACCACGCTTTTTTCTTGAGAGAAAACACCAAACTTTTAAAATAACAAACAAGCACATATTAGTGTAATCCAATGGCATTTTTTTGTCTAACAATTGGAACAGTTCATTTTGTCTACATCGCGTACAAACAGAAGATTGCCTCTTTGAATCTTCTTGGTTGAAATTTTGATACAAACATTAGATAGGCAGTTAGAATGGTTTGCTGTTGTCGAAATTCTGATTGTGCAAAACACAGTGCTTGGTCAATTGTGAGTAGAACACAGAAAAGGTCCTGGAGGTGTCTGTAGTCCCAGCTGAATTTCAAGGAGGAACCAAGGAGCAGGAGGGAAGACAATTGGCCAGAATTCCCCAGAGGTCCTTACTGGGGGATTCAAACGTGTTCGCAAATTAGCTCTCAAACAGCAATGGGGAGGTGGCACTTAGCAACTGCTGCCGTCACCTCTCTAGTGGTTAAACCAAAGTCTGCACCATTTAATAATATTGTGAGTCATGAAATAAAGGTGATGTCTAGAGATACGTAAAAATAGAATCCAAAACTGGGAGGGAGGGGTAGCTGCCACTCAGAAGGTAACAGCTGGTCTTAAAAGAGTATCTTGAAGCTCAGGAATAACATTAAATACATCAGGAATAAGCACCAAGTGTTTGATCTCAGGAGAAAAACCCACAAGACTTGATAGAAGACTATCACCGAGAAAAAAAAACCACGTGGCAGTCGAAGAATTCTCAAAATGAACATAGGCGACATACCATTTTTAAAAGTGCTATTATATTTTTAAGTAGTAAGAGGAGCTGGGCATGTAAGAATTTCCCTGTAATCCCCACCCTGAGCTTGGCCTTCACAAGGCACCAATGTGAATAAGGCACCAACATTCTATTTGGGCAACTAAACTGAGTGTGAAGCCAAGAAATAGAATAGTAGTGAAAATTATTAAGCCCCTGGAAAACAAGAGCTATAAAGAATGGTTTAAGTGGGTGGAATTATTTATCACTGAAATAAAAACACCAGGGGGATGACTTCACTGTGGTTTTCAAATACATGGAAGGCGACCAGCTGTTCTTTCTCCACTCCACGCCAAACAAAAGAAAGCCGGTTTGAATTTCTATAAGACATACAAAGAACTATCTGATCAGCAGGGTAGGTTATAGAATCTCCTTCTCTGAAAATCCAGAATCCCATCTACAGCCATATGTCTAGAATAATTCAGACCCAGCCCTGTCTGACACCAGGGAGAGAACATACTAGATAATCTAAACTTTCTCCTAGCCCACAAACTCTGAAATCGGAATCAAAGCTATTGGCTTACAGTCAGACTTCCTTTTGTTTATTTTCACCCTCAGCCTGGAAAGGAGGTGATATGGCAAGGATGACCCAACACCCCATTTGGACTCCTGCTATCTCAACATCAGGAAAAGCTTTTCTCTGTATACTGTTTCACACCTCCAAAACAGAGTCAGTTCACAGATCACTTAAAACAGATGGCAATGTAAACATCTGGCTCTAGTGGACACTAGGAGATTCCTTGTCTTATTCCCTACAAATGCCTGCTTTCCTAATTATGTCTTGGCCTAAGCTTAGAATTGCACACCATCTAAAAAAATGATTATGCCAGGAGCTAAAGCTATAAATAAGGCCCTTTATGTTGTGGAGTTTAAATGAAATTGTTCTAAGCATCGTATTTTTTAAACTGACAGAAATCTGATTTTGAAATTAACAACTGGCTTGACTTTCTCTTAAGTCACCATGAAATATAAAGAAGCAACCAAAACACTTCAAATGCATTCAGAATCACACCAAATTTCTTTGGGGGACAGAGAGGGGAAAGAAGCGATCCAGCTACCGGCTGCATTTAGCAATAACATTTTTTTGGTGGTACCTGACATCTGTAATTACCATGCATGCCTTTCCTTTCAAATCTTACGAATCTAACAAACTGGTAGCCAATGGACCTAGTCAAGTCCATCCATGTGTCCTGTTAGCCTGAATATTGGCACTTAGGTGCCAGTATTTTAAAAATCAGCAATTTTCATATAAAAATCCAGATTCTCAGCTTCTCTTCAAAAATGGGACAGGAAATAGTGCATGGCCACAACAGCTTGCCCCTGTACGTGGAACAGGAGCTCTTCAGTTCACCATAGTCCCCATCGTTCCCTGTCGCTGACACTGAGAAGGCATCTCATTACCATTTAGCATCACACCTGGGCTGCTACACTGGCTCCTCCTGAAGACACAGGATCTGCTAAGTAACCTTCATATTGGCATGTCCACCTTTTTCCAATAAACACAGAAAGAGTAACTTCTCTTTCCTTAGGGAATCCAAATTAGTGTTGAGGTTGGTGGGGACCACAGGGTTTTCTTTCTTCGGGGAGGAGGGTGTGTCAATTCTCCTTCAGGAATTGCTTGCCCCACTTTGCTTCTTTTAACGGAAAAGATGCTCATCTCTGAAAATCATGCAACCCCACATTTTTAGGGGGACAGCATTCCTATTTATTTGTACTTAAATCAGGAGACCTGAGACTACAGGTTGGTATTAACAAAGAGATGTTTGTGGCTATGAAATTGTAAGACTAAATTTTGACAGAGAAAACATACAGGTACTTATCTATCCATAACTTAGCACACATTGATTCCAATGATGTCATCATTGCTAAAGACATTTTATTGAACTTCTAGTCTAGGACTTTCACTTACTGCTAATGTGTCAACCAAAAACTCTGTCTCCTGACTTTATGGAACTGATTTCATTTTTGGCTCAAAATACTATTACCTGGCTGGGTCACCACCTGAATACCTGGGCCTGGACTGAAATGACTTCTGATTTTTTTCTGGAGATCAGTGTGCCTCAAAGGCCCAACATCCAGCCTTCTGGAGGAACTACGTTTTGTGTGGTTGGGATGGGCCTGTCAAGGTGGTCCTTGATGCTTGTAGCCAATTTCCTGAGAGAAGAGCACACCTGTACCTGGGCTTTAATAGCCCTGATCACTCTCCTGGCAAAGATGACTACACCAGATGCTAAGTCCTTTCTGTAGGACATGGGAGAATTAAGATGAACTACTAGCTCCCTACTTTTAACTAGTTCTTGGTTTTCCTGGAACCCTGGACTTACGCAGGTCTCCTTTCCAGAGGACAGTGTCTAATTTATCCACACAAGCCTTTTACTCTCAGGATCAAGGCATTTCATTGAGATGATCCCTATATTCTATTTCTTGCTTCTGCAATATCTAAAAGCCTGTGACTTGGCAGAACCTTTTTCTGAATTCCATCTTATCATTTCCACCAATGACAATCTGTGAGTCAAAAAAAATGCAGCTATGTTTAAAACACATGTTTTGCCTTAATCTGCAGCTACTCTCATTCCTAGCATAATGGGGAGAGTGAAAAAAGTGAAACTAATGAAGCAAAACCAGGAAGCTCTACTTCTCAACTTTTTCTGTGTTAGGCAATCACACTGTCATTCATTACATGGTATACCAGAGTTTGATTTTATTGATCAGAAACATCAGTATTTCAAAATAAGTACCCAAACCCTAAATCCAAACTAAAACATGACGATTTTTGGACTCTTCTTCCCTTCCATTTTCATAACAAGTGCGTCCATGTAGCAAGCTCTCTGCCCCACAGCCTTAGAGCCCAGTGAGTGCTTCCCCTCCCAGTCTTCCACGCTGCTCCTGGGCCACTTTCTCAGAGATGCTCATTTCATGAGCAAAGCTGAATATCTATCCCAAAAGCAGCTCCTAATAATTCCTGTGGGGCAAAACATTTTTTGGCCTCAGTAAGAAATCTCTCTGATAATGTTCCAAGTGAATTTTCCTAAGTTATTAAGTTTGGACTGACCAATCTCCTTCACAAAACATATGCCTACGATGAAATGGCAGGGCAGTCATGTGTGGGCAGGAGCTCTGCGCTCATCCCAGATTCCACTCTGACAACATGAAACATCTCTCCTCTGAGATGCCTGGTTTTATGAGGAGACAGTCTTGCAGCTCCCTGTCTCCCTCTCGGAGCAGCTGCAGGAAACTTGATGCCAGAGAACAGACGAGCACGTTCTTCTCCCAAGAAGCTGCCAGCTGCCTTTACAGAACAGGGAGTATGACATTTGCATCAAAAATACACACAAACTTCTCCTTTCCAGCAGGGGTGCAAGCCGTCCCTTCACCACCTGCCGAGCATGTGCTTGGAAGGGAAAATCCTGCCCTATTCCTACCCCCCAGCCCCCTTGGGATGTTTCTCAGCAACCTCTTTAATGTTGGACCTATCTGATGAAGGCGTGGAAACCACGGTCCCCAGGCTGAACGCTAAGAAAACAGGGTGCCAAAATCTAACATCGCCCATGAAAAAGGTGGAGAAAGATACTCACACCCACTCCAGGGCACAAGGAGAAGAAGGGTTTCCACAGGGGAGACCAAGACATCATTCATTATACACACGCTAATCAACACACAGGATATGAACAGTTGTTTTCTCCTTGGAAATAGGAATTCTGTAGAAAAGTCATTCATAAAAACAGAACATTTACTTTTATAATAGTTCCCTCTTTTCTACCTTCTTAAAAAGAGGTCTGTCATTAGGCAAAACCAGTTCAGCAGATTAACTGGCCACCACCTCCACACTCTGCTGTATTTCAGTGAATTCCAATCCTTAATATTCAGGACACAGCTTTAGACCAGAAGGCCAACCTAAGCACAAACTGCACCTTCCAATAATACAGCCCAGCTGGGTAGTTTCTTAAAAATAAACTTCCAGAAACCAACATCTGAGATGCAGCACAGTAAATGTAACCCAGGGATATGGCAGGCAGATCTGGCCCCCACATGATGCAAGAAGACACCTCCTCAGACCAAGAGGACGCTCTATGTGCTGAGCTTCCGGGGCCTTCTTCTACACGTTGACCAACCCACTGCAGATGGAATGGTCAAGATGGTCACCCTCGCCCTGCCCACTTTAGCAGCTATGCCACCCAATAATACACAGAGACTTCTTTTATAAAAGGTGACTGTATATTCAGTCACTTTCTTGATCTTTGATTCAAAGCTTATTTAACACCCATGCCATCATAAGTTCTGCATCAAAAATGGACAGGAATATCATCTACAATACGAGTTCCGGATAGACTGGCACTTGATTTCTGTGGCTGTAATGACATTAAAGGTGCTTTTACCACAAAGCATTTCAAATCAAAGTAGCCAACAGCAAACAAGCAAAGTTTGTGGAGCTCAATGAAGTCTGAATGATCAGTGTAGGTATTCTCCTGTTCCTCTATACATGTTTCCTCCCTGTCTCCCAGAACCAGCTCTGATCCAAGGACTGACCTAACATGGCAAACTGCTCAGACCTTATGGACGTGCCTTTCAAAGCTCTATACGGTTTTAGAAAATTGGAGACTTTGCCTGGTAGAGGGTTGGGGCAAGGAGGAGCAAGTACTGGCCAGAATTTCACTCCAAATATCCTTGAATGAGACCTCAGCTCCAAGTGGGCCATGCAACCAGAGAGATGAACTGGGGAATCAGAGAGAGGCGGCAGCTAAAGTGGCAATGCTTAGACTCTTTCATTTCGTTACAAAGGGGCGACCGCGTGGAGTTCATCAGTGTAGCTGCGGCAACCAAGTTCTGCTTTGCATGCCCCAGAGGCAAGGAGCTTAGAAGGAAGGGCAGGAGGCTCCTCCTCACCTAAGGAGAGAAGAGAGGACAGAGTCACACAGTCATTGCATTTCACTGGGCCAGGTGTTCATGCTAGAATGTGGCTGGATCTGGGTTTGGACTATGGGCTTTGCACAAATGAGGCAAGCATCCCAACCAGCTCGAGATGGGGCAGTTTCATCCTCCTAACGGGTTCTAGTTCCTTTAGTTGAGGAAGGAAGAGATCTTCCTTGAGGGTCAAGGGTTTGCATGCATGACTCCAATTAGTTACAAGCCTGGTAAGGAGCATCCTGAGATGGCATCCTGCTGGGGCTCCCTGGGGAAGTGGGCCCTCCTGCAGAGCCCTCCTAACTGGGGCCCTGTGCTGAGCTAGGATGGAGAGAATACCGTGCCCATGAACCGCAGGCTCAACGCCCGCAGCTTTAAAGACAACCGTGGGGAGGGCTGAACACCACAGGGCCCAACAAAGACACAGGTCCACAGACCCTTATCCAAGACCCTTGGGGACCGATGTGTTTTGGTATTCTGATGACTCTGGAGTTGAGAAAGGTGATAAAATGCACATACCGAGTGTTTCATAACACCTCTCACAGGGTCTGGATAACTCACCGTAATTTAGAGCATTTCTGCAACTCAAACATGTGAGTATTCACATTATCTGGGATGAATCAAAACTACCAAAGGAGCTGTGTTCCCATCAGGTTTCGCTGTTTAATAAGTTGGCACCAAAATTAGAAAAACGCTTTGAGGGATTTCTTAAGTAGCTAAAGGCAACGCCCTGTGTCAGTAACCAGACCCAACGGCGTCTTACCCAGGCCTGAAGAGGAGGACACGCTCTCCGTCAGGGAAGACGTTTCCGTCTGGTCCGTTGAGAGTCCCTCTATCAGCGGCAGAGACAGCTCCGACGAAGGCACGGACGAGTCGTAGATGCCCGAGTCCCGCGGCATGTCTGAGGGGCCGCCGGCTTTCACCATGTGCAGCAGGGGCTGCAGGGCAGAGCCGCCGTCAGGGCTGGGCCGGGCCTCGGCGTCTTCGTACAGGCCCATGTGCTGACTGTCTGGGTTCAAGTCGGCCGGCCCGGTCCCCTCAAGGACAGACGCCTCGGCCTTTAGGCAGAAATCACTCTCGGGCCCTGATTTGCACATGACATCATTCAAAACCAAGCCGGAGTCAAACTTCTCCAGGACTGGCTCCCGGTAGCGCAGCGGGGGAGGATGGAAGGGAACGAACTGTTTTTCGAACCAGTCGGGCTCCTCGTCGATAAACTGGTGCATGTTGCAAATGGCGACATACAGGGACCTGCCGGACTTGCTCCGGAAGTAGTTCCTTCTGCTGCCGTGTCCCGGGTGCGGCCCTGCCTCCTGGAGGCCGTGGTCTCGGGAGTGCAGGTGAGAACAGAGCTGGGGAAGATTGTCCATCAGTTTGTATTTGGTGCTTAGGTCCAGGACGCCGGGGACATCTCCCTCACAGGAATAATCAAAGTAAACGGCGATGAACTTGCTGAGCGCCGCGGATGAACTCTGCTTGGCCTGGCGGAGCTTTTCGGCAATGGCCGCCACCGCCACCAGGAAGAGCTCTCCTTTCCCTGAGCCTCGGCTGCCTGCTTTGTGTTTGTAGTTCTTCTTGTCCACAAAGTACTTCATGCCTTTGGAACAAACCACAATGATGAACTGGGACTCTTGGATCTTCTGGATGACCCATTCTCTCTGCCCTTCTCTACAGAGGTTGAAGTCTTCCCACAGGTCCAGAGCCACCTGGAAAGAGAAAGCACCTCACTCACTTGTACAGAACGCCCAGGAAGAGTCTGGAGAAGCAGGTAACAAGAACAGGAATGCCAGAGGAGGTCACGTCATCTGTCCCTTAACCATTAGTAGCACAGCTATGTACAGGCTCCACATTACCTGGTGCCAAGGAACAGCTGAGGTTCCATGGATGATGGTCATGCCCCAGTCCTTCTGCAAGGACTTGCCATCCATCAGCTCATTTTAGCATCATTTGGGATCATTACCACTCCTGTCGTACAAGTGAGGAGACAGAAACACAGAGCTTTTGGCAACTTGCCTGAGTCAGACGTAGGACATACATAGGACATCTTCAAGGAACCTACAGTGTGGTGGAGAGCACGGAACACAGAGGAATTGGGGTTGGTGTCCCTGGTAAGTGAGGCTGCCTGGAAGGGAGGGGCAGATCCTGGAGAGAAGGCTGGCAGGCTGTGAGAGGAGGATGTGGATGAATGACCTCTAAGTGGGCTGGAGATAGGACCTGGGCCTGGATGCCACAGTCACCCACAATGATAAGTGACTCATGTCCAGAGAGCACGACTGACAAAAAGGACCTCCCTGGCCACTCTCACAGCCCCGGGGTCAGCTATACTGTTTACCAGTTGGTCAACAGCTGTGGAAAAAGGTAGTGAACTGCAGTAACAAGGCCATTCTGGTTCACTTACTTGGGAGTGACTAGCACCTCCCTTCATGGCTTCAGAGAGGCCTATAGGGTCACATCTCTACAAGGCCTGTAACAGACAAGGCATTTAACTCCAAGCGGGGGTCTAGTAAGGAGGTTGGGAGAGGGCCGTCCCTGACAATGGAAAGAAAACCAGGCATGCATGGCTCCTCAGAGGGCTTCACCTTCTCAGACCACTTTCCTCTGATTCTGCTGAAAATGTCAATTGTGTTGGTGTCTTCCTTTCTGTAGTTCAGAAACTAATTCCCAATGGCTATGACCAATAAAAGTAGCCACAGTCTCTTACAGGAGAAGGGCATTCTGAAATGACTTTGTTCTCCACTTCTGCTCTAAGACGTTACCAAAGAGAAGGGAAGAAAGCCCCAACATCCATCTACTTGTTGAAAATAATCCTTAATTGTCTTATACTTTCCTTAATTCTTGCTAATATTATACATGCTAAAACTAACTGGGAGCATACACCAAGCATTTTTAAAATGTTTCTATCTTTGACCCAGTAATTCCATTTCTAGGCATCTATTCTTGGGAAATCATCATAAATAGGGCAGTATTGAACTACTGAGATATTTAACAGTTTGGACTAACTCAGTTCTAGTGAGTCAACACTGACGATCATGTAGCTATTTTAAATCACAGTTTTAGACTACTATTAATAATAATGTAGAAAATTGTTAAGTGAAGAGACAGAAGAAAAACATTCAAATCTGTCCAAAATGCAAATGTATGTTAGTTCACCTATGCAGAAAAAGACTGGATGGACACGCATTAACTGTGGTTCTTCTTTCTCCAGGTTGGGATTACAGGCAATTTTTCATTTGTCATCCTTTTCTAGTTTCCAAATTTTCTACAGTAAACATTACAATCATAATTGGAGAGTGTTTTCCCCAGAGGCTAATTACTTGCAAAGTAGAGCAAATTGGGTTGTTTGTGATGTCTGAAGATGTGCCACCAGCCAGTCTGCCCTTGTTTTTCAGCAGAGCTTTCCTGCAGGGGGAACCTGGCCCCAGCCTTGCATATACATTGTACTGACACCAGAGGGCATCCTCATCACGTGCAGAAATTCTGAGAACCAAGCCAGTGGGCAGTTTGAAAGCACAAATAACTTCTAATTACACAATTATTGTACAAATCTTGCATTTGTAAGAAACAGCATGTGCCTTCCACGAGAGCTTCAGACTTCACTCCAAAAATGACCACTATGACATTATAGAAAAGCTACATTTTAATAGCTTAACTCGAGAACAGCAAAGAAACCAGAGAAGACAATTTGAGCACCTGACACATTATTGTTTTCTGGGAGTCCTCTCCACCTCTTGCTTCTCTCTAGCCACTGCCCTCTCCTGCATCACCAGTTTCTCCCTTTCCATGACTTGTTCTAGTCATTGATCAAACAGCCTCACAGAGCCCTTTGTTAACCATTCCTCCTTGGACCCCAAGATCCCCTCCAGTGGCAACCGCATTCTCCATTCCCCTTCTTAGCAAAACTCCCCCCAAAGAGTTGTGTAAACTCACTGCTTTACTCGCCATTCTCTCTTTGACTCTCCGGTGGGGCTTCTGTCCTGAATATGCTCTCCAGGATGTCTTTCGTGACCCCCCCTCAACCTGGCTTTTTGCTCCCATGGCAGCTGGTGGTCTTTTTAATGCTTACAAAATTCCTTCCAGGTGGGTGCTACTCAAGGCTTTTGAGCAGGAATGTGTCAGCGTTAGAACTAAGTGTTATAAAACATTTAGTGCTGCTTATGGGTAGGTCAGACTGAAAGAATGACAAGACTGTCCCCAATTTGGAAGCTGTGGCACTAGTCAAGGGCAGATGTCACTGAAGCAGGCGTGGAGGAGAGGAGAAGGCAGCGGGGAGAGGTACAGAGCAAGTGTCCTGCCCAGGTAAGAGAAGAGACTTTCGATTTCGCACCTCACAGCCGCAGAAGTCCTGGAGGAAGTAGGCGAAGCACTGGACGACATTCATGTGATTCTGGCCATCTTTACTGGAATAGCAAAGAAAGACCTTCGGCCGCGGCCGGAGCCTCTCTCTCGGGAGTGCTGCCGCGTAGGTAGAGGACTCAGAGCTCTCTTCATCTAAATGTGAATATATATTTTCTAAATTGGAAAAGAAGATAGTGTTGATACCTATGAGCAATGCTTTGTCCTGCTCCTTAAGACTTGGAACCCAATGCTATCTTCAAGAAAGAACAGTTGGCCGGGCACGGTGGCTCACGCCTGTAATCCTAGCACTCTGGGAGGCCGAGGTGGGCGGATTGTTTGAGCTCAGGAGTTCAAAACCAGCCTGAGCAAGAGCGAGACCCCGTCTCTACTAAAATTAGAAAGAAATTAATTGGACAACTAAAAATATATAGAAAAAATTAGCCAGACATGTGGCGCATGCCTGTAGTCCCAGCTACTCGGGAGGCTGAGGCAGGAGGATCGCTTGAGCCCAGGAGTTTGAGGTTGCTGTGAGCTAGGATGACACCACGGCACTCTAGCCCGGGCAGCACAGTGAGACTCTGTCTCAAAAAAAAAAAAGAACAGTTGACATGTCCACCTAGAACAGTCTCAACCCCATCAGTCCCTTGGGTCATTGCAGGGAATGGGACAGCTGATTTCTGCAGTGGAGTAACAAATGGTCACAAATTATTCTTAACTTGAAATTGACCTTGGACAAGCCAAGAAATGCTGTAGGAGCCACCCTGGTTAGCAGCCAAGTGCACCTACTAGACCAATTAAGCATTGGCGGAGCTGACTTTTAAAAAACAAAGTTTTTGTTAGAGTATAGTTTACAAAGGTAAAGGGCATAAATCCTAAGTGTACATCTCAGTGAATTTTTCTGTAAGTATACACCTGTGTAACCCCCACCCAGACCAAGATATGGATCATTTCCATCTGCCCAGAAGGCTCTCATGATACCTGACTTTTATAAGTGATCAAGCGCTACTTATATCCTTACTAATGCTTTAGACTTTCTTTCTGCCCTTGAATTTACTATCCTGGGTTTAAGAATAGAATTATGCCCGTCCTTTTAGTGGTTCTGAGGTTAAAAGCCAAATTATTTTGATTCTTGGAACTACAGTAGCCAGGGAACTGACTGGGACCCATGAGGCTTCTGAGACACCAACCTGGAGGAACCACATACTCCCAGTCTCCCTCTCTATTGGCAGCGACCCCTGGTCTGCCCCTTGAGTGGGGGGACATGGCATACAAACAGATACCTTGTTGCTTCTTGCGGCACATCACAGTGAAGAGTGTTGCGAATGCTGATATTACGACCAGGGGCACAGTGATGGCCACAGCTCTGATGGGCCCAGCCCAGGGGGAATGCACTGGGAAATTTCAAAGGGAAAGTTTTTAAACATAAGCAATGTAACAGGTTCAAGAGAAACAACTTTTTTTCCTATCTAAACATAAGCTGCATAACAGGTTCTAGGACCCCACAACCGCCTTTCTCTAGTGCTGGTCTGGTGATTATAAAAGGATTCAACAGTTCATTTTTAAAGGGTTGTAGAGAACAATTCAACAGTTAAGAGTCTGCTGGGACATTAAATACCTTTGAGTGGGAATTTTGCCTAAGGAAACCTCCCCTCCCACCACTTTCCTTCAGAGGACAATTGAGTATTTATTTAGTCCCAGCTACACACACCACACTGGTTTTGATCTTCCAGGCATCTACACTAGGGTGGAATGAAAGTCAGATTTGATGGAACATCATTTAAGAGAGAGAAGCTGAATTTAGTTTTGTTTTTATAAACCGTGAAGTACAGAAAGTAGCAGATACCTTGGTCTATGGTAGTCTAGAGTCAAAATTTCAAACAACAAAAAAATACCTACCTGGCTTTAAGGCATAATGCACCACTTTTCTTGTTGTATTAGTGTCATCCACCAGCTGCAAAACAGAGGATGCTGTATTATTTAAGTGATAGCATCTCAACAAATTATGTCTACCGGGTAAGGGGAAGAAATGGTGATTTCATTCATTTTTCCATCAGTGGGCAGTGGGAGATGTGGCCAGTGGGGAGGCAAGTATAGGAGAATGACGGAGGGAAAAGAGAGCTGTTGGTGCCTGTCATCACTGGCCGGGTGTAGACTAGGCATTAAGTACATGCAGGTTCATCTCTGCTTTACCAGCTCAAAACTTTAAGCTTCATCATGTTTCCTTTCATGAATCAAAATGCTATTTATTAAGGAACTCAGCTGGCAAGTCCCACGTTCTAACAATTTTCAATTAAACTGGCATCCTACCACTGATTTTACTAGGCCTTCATTAATGCTTTATGAAGGTGTGTCAGTCCAAAACCACATACTGCTACTGAGAAATGCCAGAACTAGGTGTTTCTACCAAAATGTTAAGACATGTTCGTTGTCCTTGAATAGTGGGGCTATGGACAAATTGTTAATTTCCTTTTACTCATTTTTTGTAGTACCAATTTGGTTCTGAAAAAGTAATTTAAAAAAAGAAAAGAAACATTTCATTCACATGCTCTTTGAAGTAGTGTTTAGAACTCATGTATACTTATATAGAAGAACAGCAACACATACTCTAGAAAAGTATAGACAGATGTAATAGGCATAACTTTTATTTTGCTGTTTTAATACTAAAACAAAAATTTTTTAAGCTAAAATTTGGAAAATATATCTTTGTAGTATGAAGAACTATAGTACATAGATTTAATTCTAGTATTTGTTTTTTTGAGACAGGGTCTCACTCTGTTTGCCAGGCTGGAGTACAGTGGCATCATCATAGCTCACAGCAACCTCAAACTCCTGGGCTGAAGCCATCCTCCTGCCTCCGCCTCCTGAGTAGCTGGGACTACAGGCACATACCACCATTTTTCTTTTCTATTTTTTGCAGAGACAGGGTCTCACTATGTTGCTCAGGTTAGTTTCAAACTCCTGGCCTCAAGGGTTTCTCCGGCCAGGCCTCCCAAAAAGCTGGGATTACAGGCATGAGCCACTGTGTCCGGCCGATACATAGATTTTAAACCATGATTATATATGGACTATGTGGTTACATAAAAATATTTATTTAAAATATTTCGTGAAAAGATCAAAAATCAATTATGTGTAAACTTTTTTAAAAAGCATGTTAAGAACCATATAAAAATATAACTGTGCACACCTTTAATGGCTTGAAATTTTAGTGTTGCAAATAGTTGGAATTCTACACGAACTGGGTTCATTCTGTAGAATTAATAATAGGGTTTTCCAGAGTTATACATACCTCAATTATATAATCCCCTGGAGAAACATTTTGAAGGAGGCAGCTGGTTGTCTCTGTATTTTGTTCCTGCAAAAAGGCAAAGAACAATTTTAAAAACTCACTTCTTGGAACAAGGTCATCAGGACACTTCTCCCAAAAGCTGAAGGAGACTTGCCACCAATTTCAACTACAGTTTTTAGAAGATGTGATTAGATCAGAAAGCATCTGTGTTTATCTGTCATATGTTGTCTGAGCTTCATTTTGATAAAAGGCCTAGGAGAGCTCAGGATCCCTGTCATAGTCTATGCTTAGCTGGTGGCACCCTCAGCAGGAATATTTGATTCTAAGACAAATAAACTAGTTCAAATAACTCTTACTTAATAAAAGGGTGGGGAAAGAAATTACTGGGCTGTTTTTGTACGTATTATACACAGGATCATGTGTAGGAAGGTGCTGGGCTTTGCTACTTCGACCAAAACCTATCTCAGTGCTCACACGGGGCAATCTGGCAGTCCTGTGAACTTGCATGAAATTTTTCCCACTCCTCTGACAGCCCCCAGTTTAAGAACTTGGTTACTGAGTTTCTACTTAACCTTGACCTGCTTATAAAATCAGTGGCCACTGAATTGCTAGCAGCTTGGCTCCTAGATCTGGTTTTCCTACTTATGCTGTTGTGGCCTTGAGCAAGCCAGGTGACTTCCCTGAGCCTTAGGTTCCCATCTGTAAAAGGGGATGACCACTCTGTTTCATGGAGTGGTAAGGAGTCAAGGACCACAGAGCTCGGGGCCTGCCACAGTGAGCACCTGATGAATGTTTAAAATATAGAAGAACAAACAAGAAATACTTAATTCTTTTTCATTCCTTGGCAATACTTTTAACAGGCTACATCACCACCGGGACGACTGGGGTGTAGATAGCTAGGGAGTGAAGGCCGACAACAAGATGGCCCTGAGATATACCCAGTGATAATGTTCTGGACTATCTATTGACCGCTGAGAGCCAAGAAAGCCTAATGCTCACATTGAGCCACCCAAATTCCAGTGGCCCGGGGACACTTTAAAGCATGCAGCGTTCCTTTATGCACATCCAGCAGCTCACCTGCTTACACATCTTTCGCTTGAAAGGTCCTTCATGCTTTAGCTTGTAGTGAAGATAGAAGAAACGGAAGCCAAAGTTGTGTGGTGCATGGTCGAAGGACACCTGCATGTCCAAACCGTGCTGGGTGATGTTCAGATTCCGAGGCTTCCAGACTGGGAGGAGATAGGACCCCAGAGTGAGCACCCAGAGGCTGCCCCGACACCATAGTGGTGGCAGCACTCTGAGACTGGATAGATAAAAACAGCTGTACTTACAGGGTTTACAAGCCAGGCTGTCCGGCTGTAACAACAGGTCGCAGGCTATTAAGAGAGACACATATTTTTAGTTTTAGGACAGTTTGACACTTTCCTTGTCCAACCATTCAATAAAATATAAAGATGCTGTGCTGCATAATGCCAGAAAAGGTATAAAATACATCAATTTAACAATAATTTTCACTATAGTGCTGTTGCATCTTATGAAAATTTAAATGGTACAATATAAAAATATTAATGCAGTTCGCTTTATGCCACATAAATGGAAACAGTGTAAAGTCACCCAGATTTTAAAAGCTTGTCAAGCATTACATAATTTCAAGGCTGGTAGCTAAGAGGAGTACAACTACATTCATGCTACATGGAGGCTCTGTTTTAGCTGTGAATAGAACTGATGCCAGCCTCTGCCCCACTGTACAGGTGTCTAGGCATATGAGAACTTCAGAGTGGCCCTGTTAATTGCTGCAGGATTATCTTAAGTTATATTAGCATTCTATTTAAAATCCTTTTAATGGATTCTAAAAATGGCATACAGGCATCTACTAAGCAGTAGTGTCAGCACTGAAAAACGAGGTACCAAAGCCAGTAGCTTTGAAACAGAATTTAAACACAATAAAAACACAAGGAGAGAGGCCAAACAACTAGTCCAATATGCCATGCTGCTAACCCAGGGGGAGTTTTTGGGAAGTGTCCATAAAATGCCAAGAAAATTGAAGGCAGCATCAAAGCCACAGTGCACTGAAATAGTGATAAATATCTGCATTCCAGGAACACATCCCTGCCTCCACCTCACCCCCAGACAGACACATCAATTCAATTCCAGTGGGAAAAATTCATCTTACATTATGCTAATTTTGATTTAGGCAAGGTTTTCATAAACACATTCTTTGAATCCTCTATCTGGTTAGTATGCACAACACATCAAGACATGTGACATATACATGGTCTTTGCCCTATGGAATCTTATTTTAACTAAGAAATGAGACCAATTATTATCAAATAATTTGCTGCACAGAAAACCACCACAGTAAGAATTCTGCAAAAGAAAACACTGATGTAGGCTGGAGTTGAGAACAAAAACATCACAGTGGATGAGGGCTGCAACCAGATCATAAAGGAGGGGATGCTGGACAGGACTGGCAGCTGACCATCCAAAGCCTGGAACGCCAGACAGAAACACTGATCAGGGAAGACAAGAGGGAGCTCCTGCAGGTCTCAGGGTGACCAGCCACCAAATTTGAAAGCAGTGATTCAGGGAGATTAAAGACCCACCATGTACACAACAGAGGGAAAAGGTGAGCAACTGGGAACCCAGCATGGTTGGTGGCTGAGCGTGTGGACCCCAGAGCCAGACTTCTGGAGTTCAAATCCCAGCTCCTAGCAAACCCTTCAACCTCTCTGTGCATGATTCCACATCTAGTAAGTAGGGATGGTAAGATTTAATTATTTGTAGGGTTGCGCAGAGGTAAACTGAGTTAATATTTGTAAAGCATTTAGAGTAGGGCCTGGCACACAGATGTTAAATGAGTAAATAAAACTTTCTAGAAGAGGTGGTCTCAGGGATATTCCTTAATTTTGTTAATCTAGTCCTGAAAATGACAGGCCACCCTCCTGAGGACAGGTACAAGATGGAATCATTTCATGCACCTACCTATTACCCCAAAATCAACTTACACTTTTTATTCCTATTTTTTACTTTAATAAAATTGTTTTGATACATGGTTTTTGTTTTTGTTTTATTTTTGAGAAGGCAGTCTTGCTATATCCCCCAGGCTCCTCTCAAACTCCTGGGTTCAAGTGATCCTCCTGTCTCAGCCTTCCAAGTAGATGGGACTACAGGTGGCTGTCACCATGACTGGCTAGACATTGCTGTCTTAATGGTGGTCACAGCAACCTCAAAAACTCTACCGTTGAGTCTGTTTTAAAACAAGCCAGGAGTGTGTATCTCTGGTTAGGTTAACAGTCCTGGGCCTAGCCTTAATTCTAAAAAGTGCTCTTCTAGATACTTTTTCTGGGTGCTTTTCTCCTTGTCATGCTTGTTTCATGCCAGTATTTGGTGTGCTCTTGAATATATCTCCGTAGAAAAATCATTAAAAGCAGCAGAAAAGTATCCTCATGGGAACCAGGCAGGAAAGGCTATACTTACCGCGGGTTCTGAAGAAGAAAGGGTGGTAATTGCTTTCATTTTTAATGGAAGGAAAAGGTACAACCTTTACAAAGTAATCCGTTTCAAATTTCATATTCAGGAAAGGTTGAGATTCCATTCCCTAAAAGGAAACAAAAACACATGTGACGTCATGGAGAAATCACCCACCTCTCCACCTACACATGAGATTTTTGCTCCTACCCCAACTGTCGCCCAGACACAATTCCAGAGCTGCGGGACATGCCCCAGGGAGGCAGGAAGTCAGGTCTATTTTCTGGACCTGATTTCCAGAAATCCAAGTTTAGGTTTGGGTCCCTAACCATGAGGATGGACAGTGCTATCTGTTCTTTGGCAAGGAAGCCACAGCTTATTAATCTAAACCTGAGAGTTAGAGGGGAGGGTGAGCCCACATACACTTCAGAGCACAAAGACACCTTCCAGGATCGCTGCTTGTGGTAACCCGAGAGGTATGTTTACCACAGAGAGGTGCTGAAGAGTTTTCCTGGGAGCGCTGAGCAGGCACACAGTGTTGCCACACCATTCTTGCCCACCTTGGCGGGTGGAGTGGACCCCACAGCCCCTCCTTCTCCAATTTCAGACTTTCAATAGGCCATTCAGACCCCCAGAACAATAGCATGTCTTCAGGAGTACATTCCCTGAGTGCGACTTACAGTTCTTTTGAAGCTACTGTTGAGCTGCTTCGGGTCCTTTAGAATCAGTTGTTGGCACTGTCTTCCCTCCGACTTCAGCTCCTCCAGTATTACCCGAAATCCTTTCAGGAATTCGATGCCTAAGCAAAAAAGAATGCTTTTCTCAAAAGCGAATCTAATTACTTCTGAACACACTTTCCTTCCTCTAAGATTACCGTGCTCTCTACCTATATACCAGAGTTAAAAGAATTCTTACTGTGGTCAGGGTATCTGAGTCTATAGAAAGGAAAAAACACATACCCTGAATTCCTCCGATACAGACCAGGTGATTTTTTCTGTCCCATCATTACTAATTAATTAATCTCTAATCCAGCCAACCATTTCACAAATATCCATTGCCTCAGTGGCATTAGGGTTCAAATATTTAGACTCAAGTTACAATTGTTCATAAAAGTCTACAGTGGAATATATAATTTCTAGGTCATTAAACAGGGTACATTCAGCTGATGATAATTCCCAGTGTTCACTAGGGAATCCCCTAAACCAAGTTTCCACTTTAAGTTTTAGCTCTATATTCTTTGGCATGTTTCACTGAGCAACGTACAAAATTCCCAACAAAGTGTTTGTCTGCACCCAAGGGGTTCTGAAGCTTGAGATTAAATAGCTTAGGGGAATGCCTATGCGATTTACAAAGCGGTTCTTGCTCTAATCACGCCTGAAAGGCCGACACCCGAGGGCTGCCCAGTGTGTGCTCTTCATACAATCCTCACAGGTTCTGAGACACCCACAGCGCTGCTGAAAAGCGTTGGCCCAGCCTCCCGCCACCTGAGCTTCCCCCACTGCACGTCCGACTAGATGCTTTCAAAAGGATTAAGCTCTGATGGCCACAAGAGCCAGCACCAGAGCTCCGTATCCCATGGAGACTGGAGTGGTCCAACTGCAGCTGGAGATCTCCAAAGGCGGCCTCAATTGGCGAGATATCGATTTCACATTCTTTCTGAACACTAGACAAGGAGACATTTTCAATCCTTCCTCTCCCAGGGCAAAAGTAATTACACAGGATGCAATTAACCAGGTGGGAAATTTATTGGTGGTAAAGGCCAGGAAAATCTTTTTCTCTTTCGAATAGGTTCTCCAATCCTGTAATTATTTGGTGAAGAACACATATTTCATGGTGGGTAGGGCAGAGGAGCCACAATTAGAGTTTCACATTTTAGGGGTTCTGAGGGCTACAGTGTACAGGTACTGACCCTGCCATGTTGTATTTCAATTACAAAGCTTCCTGTGGGACAGGACAGCCTGAGATTCGACATGGTGACAAGATACAAGGTCTTTAGACCAACAACTGTGTAGCAGATCTCCCAGGAACTTGCCTTTTGAGATTAAGAAAAAAAAGAATTTTGAATAAATCCTTGCTATTTATACTAAGATTTAATTTATGCAATGTAATTTATGCAAGAACTACTGTTTAACAAAAGCCATGTGATTAAGATGATCAACAGCTATACATCTCATAATTACATAAAAATTCATCAGCTTTTGTGGTTCTTGTTCTTATTTTTAAAAGACTAGCCTGAAAACCACAATGGCAAATCTAGGGATGGGGGTAGAGGCAGCAAATGGTGTTCCTTTATCATTGTGCTATGCCAAAATACTATTTAATATTAACATCTTGTAGCTATATAATGATTAGCAATTTTACAGAGCAGCTTCCCATGAAGGAACTTATTATCTCTTCTCTCTCCCATCATTTAAACTCACTAAATCCTCCCGACAACCATAGGAGGAGGGTATTATCCCCCATTTTAGAGATGGGGAAACTAAGGTTTACAGAAGCTAATTGACTTACCCAGGGTGACATGGGAATGAAATGGCAGAGGTGGGATTCAACCCCAGAAGTGTCTGGCTCTCAGCCAGTGCTCTTTACTCACACGCTTTGCTACTTTCTAAGAAGTTTCCTTGATAGGACCTGATAAAACCAGATAGAACCTGTCCAGCCACCTCCACCCATACATAAAGCACAGCCTTCTGCCCTCCCCGTTCCACATGGCAGTTCTCCTACCACCAGTTCACACTTCCCACCTTCATTCTAAGGAGGGAGCCTGCGATTCGTCAGGCCAACCCTTAACCATTTAAGCCATACATGGAATGACCACTTTCCCTTTCATCTACAGAGAATGTTTTTTATCTTTAAATGTTAAGATAATATTATTTTTGGAAAACCCACTGGTTTCAGACCCAGAAGTATTTATGTGGAGAAGTGGTTCAGGCCACAGGGTCTGCTCCATCCTCCTCCTCCCTGCATTCGGCCCTCCTGCAATCCGGTTCTTCTGAGACTTAGCCTGTTCAGATTAAGAAATTCAAACTTTACTTCTCCCTTGGCCAGGTTTTAAAAAACGTGTAAGATCAAGTTCCCATTGGGTAAGATGTCAAAGGGGGAGGCCTGAGAACCAGGTTCTAATGATGGCAACAGCAGCCACTACGCTTTGAGAATCTCTCTGGAAACGTACCGCGTGTCCCTAACCATGAGGCAGTTCTCACCTCCACGTCACAGACGGGGAAGCTGAGGCTCAGCGAGGCTTCAATGCCTTGTGTGAAAGGTTGATTCTGGGTTCAAACCCAGGCCCATCTGAACAAACAGTCCTTTCCCATGTTTCACACTTGACTAACCCGTCCTCCTCTCCAGTGTATCCTCGATTCGCTCGAGAAGACAAACAGATTTAGCCCCAACCTCAATCTGGATAGAAAATGTGGGTTTGCTTTTTTCTGTTTCTTTGTTTCAGTTTGCTTTTTTTTTTAGCCCACACAGTTTAAATAAAAATTCAATTAGTTGCCAACATTTAAAAATTCATTGATTTCATGATTTCTCATGAAAACCAGGATTTTCCTGAAAAATCACAACATGTGCCAATGGTGGGCCAGTATATCTAGGTGTCCACAGAGACTGCTAATGCTGCATGTTGAAGCCATTACACCCTTAGAGGGGCCACAGCCTCTCTTGGCACTGCCACTCACCCACCCCTGACTACTGCTGGAGACAGAGAGGCCAAGGCCTCAGTGCTATTTGTCACTCACACACTATTGTTTTTCAGACCTACATTTCTCTCAATAATAGTCAAGGAAACAAAAGAGGGGGCATGTGTGTGGATAGCTTCAGGCCACGTGTATGCCTAGCAAGTGTATGGGACAAAGTACAAAGTAGGTCTGTGCCCAATTCAACATAAGCTTCACTCACATCAAGACCTGCCTGGCCCCTAGAGGCCATCACAATTGGGACTATTGCACTGGGCACTACCCACTACGGTGGACTCAACTTTCAACCACTCACCGAGGGCCCCTGGGGACCAAAGAATGGTGACTGCCACTTGGTCATGGCAAGCATACTGGCTGATGGTGATGTTCTGGGCGTCGGCGATCACATGCTTCCCCACTGGGTTCAAGTAGGTGGTACAGTCTAGAGAGTTGGGAGAATGAGAACAATTAAATTAAAAATTTTGTTTTTATTTTCAGGTTCATCTCAAATTACACAGAGCATGTCTAAAGGTGGCCAAATTCATTCTGTTTAACGACATGTGCCTTGAAAGACCAAATATGACATTAAAGGTTGACTACTGCTTGGGAAACTATAAGATGCTACAGAGGGATTTATCTGTAGCACCACTATCACCACCCACCCACCCCAAGTTAAATTCCAGGACAGTGTTGGGAAGATCATACACTGTGGAATTTGTGTGTGTATCTGGCACTAACTTTTTTTTTATTCTTATGACATTTTACCTGAATCAATAATTATTTATATCAATTCAGCCAGTTTTCAGCATTCCAGAGTGATTTGAAACAAAACAATGGCTAAATAATGTGGGCTTTGTTTTTAGAAGAAACCTAGAGGGCAAGGTGATTAGGGGAAAGGACCTAACATTGGGATGTGACTCCAGGGGGAACTGATTCATAGTTAAGACTCTTAACCAAGCCAGTTAGTATCTACACAAGGTACTAACTTAGTGACCGAATGATAAGGACGTTAACTAGCATAATTCAAAGGTAAAACTGTTGTTCTGAAACACCATGTGTCATCAAAGACCTCCACAATCCCCACTTAATCCGAAGGGCCCCACATAGCTCAAAAAACAAAAACCACATCAATCTTTGATTTTGTCTGAGAACATTATTCACTGCCACCTGCCAATGTAGCCCATGTGAGCAGCTGTGCCACCTAGTATTGCTAAATACACTCTCAAAAGCTGCACATTTCCTAAAAAGCTGTCAGAAGCTTCCCGTCAGAATTGGGCTATGACTTCAGGGAATGGCCATGGTGCGCTGTTCTAGCCACTCTTGCAGCGAGAACCATCGGCCATCCCCAGCAGACACCACTGGCAATTCTTCCACTGCTTCGTCTCTGTTTCTTTCTCAACGATTAATCTTGAATACCCTCTTTTAGTACCTGCTGCAAAAGATCATCAGTGTCATCAAATGTCCAAGCCTGCCCATTACCCTCTGAAGTCAGGGCGTTTTTCTTTGAGGTAAAGCATTCCAAGACATTTGCTAAGAAGCTCAGGGAGTCTGCTGCATTTGTCTCCCTTTAAACCGTACTGCACATTTCCTATTTTTATGACTAAAAATGTTCATTGGAGACATTTGAAAAGCATGAAAGAATATAAGAAAAATGTAAAAGTCATTCATAACCTCTCACACACAGAGGTGCCATACACATTCTAATGGTACCCAGCCAAGCCTGTTTTAACATGCACATAATATTCCTTCTTTTAAATTTCTCATTAAAGTATAACATACAGACACCAAAATGAACCCCCCCTTTTAAAACTCCATCCTCCACACTGCCTTGTGTCCTGCTTTCTTACCTAACTACATTAGGCATACTCTCTTCTCTAAACTCCATCTGCTTCAAAAAACAGTCACAATTACATTTCAGTATTACTTCTTTTGAAAGGATGTTAATAATTGAGAAAACCAAATTTTACTTCTGATGAAAATTCACTCTCAAAGCTATCAACATGTGTGCTCTGGATGCAGAAGAGAATTTTAAAATAAGAAAAAAAATTTGTAAACATCTGGTTTAACAACCCCATTGTACAAATGAGGAAGTTTCAGCCATGAGAGATCAGTTAGGTGGCTTAGGAGCCCCCTGCTCCCCAGCCCAGGGTCAGGACCAGAAAGCAGCCTCTGATGGCTCACCCAGGGCTCTTGCTATTCTATCATCAGCACAAGCTTATTACTATTAACGTAAGCTCCGAGTCAGGGGTGTTCAGCCTGCAAAAATCCTGGCTGAGACCAGCTTCCCAATATAAAAAAAGGCAAGATCCTATCATACTTGTAAAGTTCAAATATTTTTATTTATTGAGGTCTATAATAAAAGAGAAACCTTTGACTCAGACAGCTCTGAAAAGATGCATGAACAACAGCAAGTCAGGTTTTCTTCTTTGTTCATTCCTAATGCCAAAATTAATACCCTTTGGGTTTCTGTAGATACAAGTATGCAAATATAAAGTCTGAGCATTAAGAAAATTTGTTGGGCCGGGCGCGGTGGCTCACGCCTGTAATCCTAGCTCCCTGGGAGGCCAAGGCGGGCAGATTGTTTGAGCTCAGGAGTTCAAAACCAGCCTGAGCAAGAGCGAGACCCCGTCTCTACTAAAAATAGAAAGAAATTAATTGGACAACTAAAAATATATAGAAAAAATTAGCCGGGCATGGTGGCGCATGCCTGTAGTCCCAGCTACTCGGGAGGCTGAGGCAGAAGGACTGCTTGAGCCCAGGAGTGTGAAGTTGCTGTGAGCTAGGCTGACGCCACGGCACTCACTCCAGCCTGGGCAAAAAGAGTGAGACCCTGTCTCAAAAAAAAAAAAAAAAAAAGAAACTTTATTATAACTTAATCAGGCATACCCCCTCAGAGCCTACAGGAAAAACATGAATACAAGGCCAAAGGAGGCCAGGAGGCTTGGGAAATACAGTTTTGACTTAATGGCAAGACATTTTCTTCCTTTATAACATTAAATGATAAAGGAATAGAAAAATAAGATTTTGTAGTTTAGTAATTCTGGTGAAAACTCAGTAATTGGCTCTCAGCTATTTCAAACAGAACTAGTAACCAGTCAACTGAGCAGTAACAGGATCTTCCTTGTGGAAGGGAGAAATATCTTTTTCAATAGAAAACAATAAGTTTTTTTCTTTTTTTTTTTAACACAGTCTGGATCCAATTATTAGCAAGTCTAAAGTTTTGGATTCTGGTTGCAAAAACTTTATGCCTGAATAACATTTGCCAAAATGCAACTGAGCTTCAAACATCTCAGGAGTCAATGTGAGCTGTGAATTAAATTCTAATTAAAAAGAAAGTTATGACTAAAGCAGGCATAGGCATGTGGGCCAAATATTTAGCATTGTGAAGAAAATAATAAGATAAAAACTTTTAAGTTTTATGGGTAGAGATCCTCTTTCACTAACTCCATATTAAATTAGATATGCAAATACTTGTTTGCAGCTGACCGGAAAATTTTGAACTCTTGAATGTAATGCAAGATCTGCCAGGACCAAGAACATGTATTAGAAATTAACTTTCTAACTCAAAGAAAGATCCCTTACACATCTTTACTTAGCTGAATCAAGTGTCATGGACGTGCAAATCTTTCATTTCCATCCCACCATTTACCCAGAACATGCACATACCACTGATGTGAAATGTCTGAGTTTCATGTCTAAGTCCTCACTGGTTAACCTAAAATACCCAGGCCAGCAACTGTGGGTGTGAATCTGACACACATATTTGTATCTTAAGATTGTTAGATTGTATCCATGACCTCAAAAACCCTGCTGTGGCAGTGATTATTCCAGAGGCCTCAATATGACCTAAGCCACTTACTTACATTGACTCAAACCACGTCCAAGAGCCGCATCAGATGTCAGGAGTCACTAAATATGAGTCAACCTCCCTCTTCTCATTTTTACTTATAAATTATGGCTCCTAAGGCTAAAATGCTCACAATTCTATACAACTACCTTCTTTTGCATGAAAGTAGCTGCTTAGAAGGGATCCTAACAGAAAAAGCACCACCCCCTGTCCCCTGGCTTAGAAATCAATTCAGCCAGAAAAAGTCACACTTTCTTGAGAGAAAGGGAAAAAAATGGTGCTTGTATTCAAATTTCAGTTGGGCTGACTTCTAATATCAATAGATATCAATTATTGAGGTTACACTGCAGGCCAGCTACCAAGTTGAGCAATTATAAGCATTATCTCATTTAAACCTCAAAATGATGCTAGGAGAAGCAAACTACTCTTTATCTGATAAGAGAAAACTGAAGCTTGGAGCAGCCAAATCACCTGCCATGGCTCACACAGCTGGCAGGTGGGGAACTGGACCTCAGGCCTAAGTCAGAGATGGCCAACTGGAGACCACTGCGCCAATCTGGGACCCAGACTCACTTGACCCGCTCTGGCTGTGAAAATTTTTAAATAACTGCCAACATTAGAAAATGTTCACGCAGACCTGGGTGCGGTGGCACATGCCTATAGTCCCAGCTACTTGGGAGGCTTAAGTGGGAGAATTGCTTCAACCCAGGAGTTTGAGAGGAGCCTGGGTGATAGAGTGAGACCCACCCCCCAAAAAATAAAGTTCATACAAAAAGTGCAGATTGCCCACTATTCTTGGAAATCACACTTGGCTACATTTAGTGAGAATTCCTCAAGGCTACAACAAGCTAGAACCAAGGAGTCAATGCTCCCTTCAGACCAGGCATGGGCTATCCAGTTTGCCACAGTCCCTGCCATTCCCTAGCATCCTGCATGTGGGCAGCTTTGTTTATTTGTCCCCTGCCGGGCCCTCCTGGCATCTGCATTTGTTCTTAAGGACGTGGCTAGGTCCCAAGGAACTCAGGGAAGGGCTTCATACATAACTTTTCTGAACACCATGGAAGACACTTGACCTGTTCAAGCTTCCAAATACTTGAGTGGCTTAATTGAGACTGAGCTGCTTTAGCTCTATTGACAAACCTGAACAGGTTCAGAAAATTCCTCAACCCCAAGACCTGCAGTGTCCTTGATTAAGCATGACTGTGTAAGCCTTAGGTTACTGAAAGGGCTCCATTCTTCAGCAGGCGAGCCAGTTACTTACTGTCATATCTGAAGGTGATGTTGTGCAGCCCGCTGTTTCTGCTGGCTGGCCCCACTCCCTGTGGGAAAACAAGAGAACATGATGCAGAGTGAAGCCAATTTGCTTTTCCAGTACAGATCCCCACGGAGTCCAAATGCACATAGAATTGCTGAGACCCAAGGTCATGCCAGTCCCTGAGCACACCCACCACTCTTTCTGCCCACTCCACGGCCCTCTGACACCAAACTCCCTCCAGCCCGGAGATTCCTAACTGCCAGGCCACAGGGATCACGAGTGCTCACTTTCCTCAGACAAGAGAAGCAGGCTGTTCTGTTTAGGGGTTAAATAATAATTCATTAACAGTGAAATCGGGAGAGGGACCAAGAGCTGCCAGCTGGAGCCTTTCCAGTTAGATCTACTTTGAGCACTGATTGGTTATAAAATTTGCCTACTCCAGACACCCTCATCTGCAAGCTCTATTAAGCCAAGATAGATCGGCAATTCCTCCAGTCTAAGGAAACCAGTTTCTCATTCCAAGACTGGGAATGAGTGTGGGAATAAGCCGTTACTTTTAATGAGAAAATTCTTCACTGCATCCATACCTATGCTTGGAATACATAGAGTGGGTCATAAAAGAAAAAAGACTTTAAAAGGTCTAACTCTTAACTCTTGGTGATGTGGCCGTTAGCCATCTGCACTCTTAATAGCAGGGCTAACAACTCCGCCAGACTTCCCACTCTCATCACAGCACCCACAGAGGGAGCACCAAATTCCTCTCGTTGACCCCGCCTTTTCCTAACCCACCACTAACCCATCATGGGAAAGAGCAGCTACGATCTACTGAGTCTGAATTATCTGTTTCTGAAATAATCTGCAAAGATGCTGTATTAATTGCAGAATTCTCCAAAATATGTTAATTCTGAAATGTTAAATGATGTGAAAATATCCTAACCACACGGCTTAAGTTTCCACTTAACAAGGAGGATGTTGGGGAAAACCATATGCTGGCAGCCTGGTATTTAATGGGCAATTGTTACACTGAGACACAATGTGGAGAACACTTCTGACGGAGCCCAGGGTTTCAGACCACAACCCCGTCACATCCAGATGCTACAGGCATGTTCACACTGCTTATCCTGAAGCCAGGCACGCCCACTGAAACTGTATCCCTTAGATCAGATGTACACGGACCTTGGGAAAGCACAGCTGTGCAGAAACGGCCACATGGACACACTCTCTCTCTCTCTCTCTCTCTAAAGCTGTGGTCCCCAATCCCCGGGCCCTGGCCCGGACCAGTCCAAGGCCCATTAGGAAATGGGACGTGCATTACCACCTGAGCTCCGTACCCCGCCACCCCTGGTGCGTGGAAAAATTGCCTTCTATGAAACTGGTCCCTGGTGCCAAAAAGGTTGGCAACCACTGCTCTAAAGTGAGGAATAAGCAGTAACACAAAATCTAAATCAACGGGGCACACAGCCTACAATCTACTGGGGCTCCCTTTCCTCCTAGTTCACCTTCCTTCTCCAGCTTTCCTCCTTCCATCCTCTCTTCCCCACATACACAAGATTCCAGAATTCCTCACCTGAACTGAGACACTTTGGAATGCATTGTTACCTTATTAAAATCCTGAGAGTGTCCATAACTCCTTAGGGACAAGACCACAGTCTATGCAACTAGAGGCTGTCCAACCTCCAAATGGTGAAGACCAGAGTAATACAACCAGGCAGGAGATCAGGAAGGAGACAATCCAACCCCCCACAACCTTTGGTCTCTACCCAAGACCTCCAAACAATACCCTTCTGCTCCCTTACAAGCCCCCAGGATATAAACCCACTTACCATCTATTAATATTATGAGCTAGACAAATTACGCTAGATGGCAAACAAAACAGCCACTGTCCTTGCCCTTGCGGAATGAAGTAGCATGATGCTCATCTTTTCAAAGAGTAACTAGCTACATGGATCACACCTAAGGCATACAGACAAATCTCAGATCAGTCCCTGGCCCTCCAAGAATGCCTAGTTTAGAGGGCAAGACAAGGTATATGTAGCTGGGGTGAAAAGAGGAGCCATAAATAAACATGCAAGATATGAAATGCTGCAGGCAGCCCCCAAGTAAGAATGAATGAAGGGTAAGGAAGACAAGTACCAGAAGCCTAAAAGGGGGAAGGATAACTGGGTTAGAATGGAGAAGAAAACAGCAGCATCATGGGAGGGAAACAAACATAATCTAGAGGCCAAGGTAAGCACCACAACCCTCCCATCCCCCTCCGCCTGGTGACCAAGGGCAAGCTCCACTCCACTGGGCCTGGGTTTCCTTAACTACCTTTCTTTTAAAAAGAATTTGTGTGGCTTTCCTCTAGGAGGAGGGTTTGAGGAGGATCACATAAAGCCATGTAGAAGAGGAACTTTTCAAAAAGGAAACATATTCCATTTAATAGCATGCTATTAGCAAGGTACATAGGGACTCTAGTGACCAGTCTCCTTACTTGTGGGACTTGGTCACCTTTCCCTTTTGTTCCTGTTTCCCCCTATATTTCTTTTGTTGGTTTGTCTCCTCCATATTTCCATTGCAACATGTTTTTAACAGATTATATATTAGGCACTTGCAATGGCCAATGCACTGTGGAAGGAGCCCAAGACCATGAGATGTGCTATATCATGCATGCAAGAACCTAAATCCCTCCAAATAAAGTCTCTGTGATGTGTGTGGAGCTGTTCAGAGGAGGGCCCAGTGAGCTTGCCTTGAAGGATGGTGAGGCTCACATGTAGCACCCATTCACTCCTCACAAAGCATTCCACCTTGGCCTAAGCCCAATAGAGCTGGACACTCAGTTATGAAGAAGACTCAGGTCCTGACCTCCAGGGGCTTGGCCACCAAGGTGATCTCCAAACATGTATTTATGCCCTCACTCCCCTACTCTAAGCCCTTCACTGGCTCCCTGTCCTCCCTAGACCACTCCTGATGTACCCTGCCTACCCTCCCAGTACTCGCTTCTCTACCTTCCAAACCCCTTGGGCATGCAGTTATGCTCAGAGCAGGTTCTCCGGCACTCCTGCTTTCCCAGAATCCCCTTTTCTTCTCATCACATCTTCAATGGAGCGCACCTACCATGCAGGTCTCAGTTCCCTGGTGGGCAGCCTGCCCCTATCACACTGTGTTCCTGACACATTAGTCTGCCTGCATACTCACTTGATGGGAGCACAGTAATGCATCCCATAGTTTGAACAGCATAGCACTTCGGTGGATATAGATGCAAAATGGTAATTCCAATTCCACAGAAAATCTGAGACCAGAAGACCCTGTGACCATCCAAGCCTGGTCATGGAGCTTAGAAGCAAGAGACACCATCCTAGGCATCAGTTTTTATATGAACTTTAAAGACCTTTTACTCTTGGAAGTCCTTGAGAGCACAGCTTCTCGGCACAAGCATGACAGGTGCTCCATGGGGCTGTCCTTGGCTCACACCTAGGGATGCCCTCAGAAACTACCAGAGAAACAGTGTGCCAGGATAGCCCACGGAGTACCACTGTTTTCTTTACACTTTGTGAAAGACAGAACGATAGCCCTCCCCAACATATCCACATCCTAGTCCCCTGAACCTGTGACTATGCTATTTTACACAGCAAGAGGGACCACGTAGATGTGAATAAGGGTCCTGAGACGGGGAGAGTAGTCTGGGTTATCCAGATGGACCCAAAGTGATCACAAGCGTCCTCATAAAAGGGAGACAGAAGGGTCAGAGTCAGAGGGGGAGAAGTGACGAAGGAGGTGGAAGACAGAGAGATGACTGAAAATGTTGCAGGGCTGGCTCTGAAGATGGAAGAAGGAGGGGCTGATGAGCCGAGGAACGCGGGCAGCCTCCAGAGGCTGGAAAAGGGAAGGAGGGGGCTCTCCCCAGAGCTTCCAGAAGGAGCCAGCTCTGACAACACTTTGACTTTCACCACATAAAATCTATATTGCACTTCTGACTTCCAGAACTATAACATAATAAATCTGTGTCATTTTAAGCCATTAAGTTTGTGGTAATTACAGCAGCAATCGAAAGCTAATATATACTTATGTAATTTCAGCTGCAATGTGGATGAAATATTAATAGATTTCAATGTCAGACAGACAGGTCAGGGCAACTTGGCAGAAGGCACTGACCACCAGACTAGGAGTGTGTTCTACTGATAGTCACAGTGGGAACTGGGTGGCCCAGTAGCTTCATTCCTGGTTAAGTGCACAAGCTGGATTAGAGGAGGAGAAGCTGAAGACAGTATGCCAGGAGGGCAGCCTCCAAAAGCCCTGCCCCATGGTCCTGGACCTGGCACAGTCAGCCCTTGATAAATATTCATTTTCTGCCTGAGTAAATGAATGCATGATTAAGCCAGGTAATACACACCAAGAACCCAGCTTGGTGTTACACTGTGATTTTCAAGGCCAGCACTAAGAGAAAACAGATAAGGCAACTAACAAAGCTGGTCAACAGCTTTGTAAAATGTTCTTCAGGAAACAATCCCAAGCTTTTAGCTACTACACTGTTTTGATATTTAATGAGCTGATGATTAAAAAATACTTGTTTGTTGCCTCTTACTTAAAAACTATAAATGCCAAAGCTGTGGCCTCAGGGTGCCACATTCTTAGTTAATTAACCACCCCCATTTGCTGCACTAACGGGTAGCTTTTAATTTGTTCCAAAGAGGGCTAGAAGCAAGCTCCAGGTGCCTGGAGCTCCGCTATGGAATTCCTTTGGTTGGCGCTCTGTGGTCAGGAGGGACCAGCAGGGACGGAAGCAGCAAATGGGAACATAATGGAGAAAACATCTTCTACCCAGGAAGGGAGGTGAGGATAACCCTTAAGTGCTCTAAAGGAATAAAATTCAAAAGGCAAAAACCCACACCATGCTCCAGCCATATGGCAAAGAAGCAAAGGCCTGGACACAAAGACGGCCACGGAGCGGGAGCCCATGTGCAGCCGCCAGGAGCAGCCGCAAGGGTGACCAGACAGCCAATTTCCTGAGGGCTCCTGGGGATTCTAAGCTGTGTGAAGACACCAACTTCCCAGAGCAATATTTCCAATTTACCTCCAAGACAG